GATTATTGCGGTAGCCATTAGAATTGGGCGGCGCCACCAACTATAGGGCAACAAGAAAATCCAGAATATTCAAAAAAAATTAGGGTTTCGGAGAGGAGGAATGGCGAAGGAAACAGGCCATCTCGTTGACGCAAGCTGAACATTTCACGAGGCACTCCGCGAGCGAGAGGGTGATTCGCAAATATTGTGCTTTAAATTTTATTGCATTTTGGTCCCTGTATCTATGTGTTAATAGTTTTTGTTTTTCTAAAATAAATTAAAATAGAAAAAAAATGATTCCTCTTGGTTTAGTTAGTTTGTTGTATTATTGCAGCGCGAAGAAATAATACACCATCAAGTAGCCCTGATGTCGATTACACATATATGCCATAATGTAAAACAAATAATGCATATACTAAGAATTAATCAGCAAAATGGACATAACGACTACAACTTAATTCATGATAAATCTAATTACGTGCATATAGAAATGAAATTATAAGATGCACTGATCATATTTAACTTATGACACAATGTTGTAGTTTTGATATAGAAATCAATCGTCGTCCACGATACTCAAAGCTCTATATCTCCCTCTAGATCTAGGTCTAGGAATAGGGGGAAGATTTGATAATTTCACAAAGTTACCAACTTTCACTTCATCTAAAGACTGCTTGCACGAAAAGATCATACAGAAATAGCTGCTCTTCTTTGATCCCTTAGACGATCCATTATAATCAATAGAAGCCTTTTTGCTATTTCCGAGAGTAGTACTTTTTGTGCACTCAATTAACGCTGTAATAAAAGGGTCATCACGTAGCGAAGAGCTTTTCCCAATTATTGGAGGCCGAAAGGCTGCACACGGAGGAGGTGGCGGAATCTTTTCGCCGTTGAAATGATAATTAGAGGAAGAGAAATTTTGGTGGCGGATGAAATATTTAGATAGGCCAGGTGAATCTTCCCATGAAAATGCTATACTACTACTTCTTCGTATATCAACTATTCCAGGACTCATTTTTTTCTGTGTGTTTGGCATTAACTGATCATCTTTGCTTTTAATTTTGGCATCCATTTTTGCATTTATATTCAGCAGTATAACTTAGCTATTACACTAAGATCGAGTTCCTTGTCACGGCCAGCAATTGAAACGACGTCAAGAAAGAAAAAAGACTATTTTGCTTGTAGACGAATTTAAGAGGTTAATTTGTAGCCTACTTCCCTTTGTTATTTGCTTTACTTCTACTTAATACCCCTTATGATCAAGAAAAGAGTCTTAAATTAAACTATTCTCCGTCCCAATTTATACGACATAGTTGGAATTTTGAGAGTCAATCGAGTTTTTTTTATCGAAATACTTTTATATATCTCTTAATTATTTTAAGTTGTTTGTTATTATAGTACTTTTTAAGTTTTCAAATATATAAATTTTATTTTTAAAAACTTTAAGTTTCTATGTTCACATTCATGGTCAAAGTTAAAAATTTTGAATCTCAAAATTTTATTCTACCTGTTCTATATAAATTGAGATAAAGAGAATGAATTTTTTGGTCAAATCTATTTGTGCAGTAAAAAATAATACTGTATTTTTCTTGACATGGACCGTCTCTGTATCGTTCAATGATTACTTATTGACAACATGATCTGCATCCAAAGAAACAGATTAAGGTAAAATGTCACCATCTTTTTTGTTTCTTCGATATGTATGATCACCTATGATCAAGACATCTTTAGGTAAGAATTAAGATGGATGATGTTCTTCATTGAAATGTTCTTGTAATAATAGTTACTGTACTTTAAACTACTTTTATGGTCACAAACCAGAAAGAGTACTTCGATACGGCTGTAACACAGTAACTTAATTTTCAGTAAAAATCTGAAAATTCTGACATAATACTATGAACAGAACTAGGGGTGTACAAGGCAAATCGTAAAGTCAAATCGAATTGATAAATCAAATCGAAAAAAACTGATTCGTGGTTTGGTTTGGTTGGTTGGTTTGGCGTTGAAAAAAAAAAAACCCGACCAATCTTGGTTTGGTATTAGAAGATAAAAAGTCAAACCGAACTCAAACCAAACCGACATAATATATTATAATTTTATTTTATTTATAGATAAAAAATATTATTTATAATCTACTTTGTTAATATATTATTAGTTACTTTATAGTTTTCAATGTTTAGTTATATTATTTCAAATTTGGGCTTGTAAAATTTTGTAAATATTTTATTTTGTATTAAGATCGAAAGTTAATTATATTGTTACAGTTTTTCAAATTCGAAGATAACTTTACTTTGTAATTTTTTTGTTTTGTATTCAGTTTGACTATAGCCTTTAATCTTATTAATTTAACATAATGAACGTTGATATTTCAATAAAAGTATTTTGTAATCATGTGAATTTTACCGTCTTTTTGAAGATTTCTATTCCTTAATATTTTTAAAGTTTAGCTTATCACACAAGTAAGTGAAAATATATTTGATCTCTTTTTCATACACCGTATAGTTGTAAAAAACCGAAAAACCCAAAAATCGAAAAAGATCGAAAGAACCGACTAAAGTAAAAACCGAAAAATCCTACTTTATGTGGTTTGACTTGGTTTTTAGATTTAACAAACCGCGACATAATTGGCTTAGGGTTTTTTTTAATGAAAAAACAAACCAAACCTACCTATGTACACCCCTAAACAGAAGTATTTGCTCCCTCTATTTATTTGAATTAGAACATGTAGTTTTCGAACTTTTAAAAATCAAATTTATATGTTCGAAAACTATATATAAAAAACTATGAATCAAAATAGTTGATAATTCAAGATATTAAAAATACTTAAAAGAAAACTGTGATCTTACAAACCTCTTTGACTCTCCAACTGATAAATCCGTCAAATAAAATGAAAGGATTACAATTTGTTGTATTAAAAGCATTTTAGAATGTGTAGAGAAATCGTAATGGAATAAAAAACTATCTGATGCATGAACAAAAAACGCCATGTAAAATGCGAGAGAGGGAGTATTGGATGTTTGTTATTTCAAATCACATATCCTTACATTTTTTCTTTTTGTTTAAGCATTTGATACCAAAAAAATGTTAGCTCAATTAATTAAAATTTGTATAGAAAAGGCTCATTAAAAATAAAGAATCAAAAATTTCATACCAAAAGCTAAAACTCAAGATCTTTATTAAAGGAGAATGAATTAAAAATAAAAAGTAAAATTGTTGATTTGTGATCAAGTTGTTTTATAGAAAACAGAGAACGATATTTTACCCTCTTAATTGACATCATCTAGTTAATTTAAGTAGAGAATTGTTAATCTTGTTAGAATTGAGGCTTCACTAGAGTTGGTGAATTGTTAATCTTGTTTTTATCCGCTAACATTATAACTACGTTTGTGATTTTATTCTTAAAGATAAGGTTTGGTAAAACTACTCCAACAGTGAAATCATTATTTCTATTATATAGAAATGTGAAGACGACCATGACGACCAATGGCAATTCCGAAAATCTAATATGATTGAAGGGCAGAATAGTAATTATTCCTTATCTATTAGAATGGATTTCTAGAAGGACATGGACCTTTCTTTTCCATTCCTAATCAGCAAGAGTCTCTTTCTTTCGTTTGACCAAAAAATAAAATTAAAAAGATCTTTTCAAAATTTCATTTTTTCCTAGAAGTAATACAAGGTATGACTTTTCTTCTATCAATTTTCATTTTCAATAGTAATACAAGATATGTTTTTTCTTTTAAATTTCTCAAATGCTTTCTTCTTCATTCATATTAAGGTTGTTGTTCAAGACCATATGAACATGTCCCTCAATTCGAATATCACACTGTAGTTATAATCAATATCCATAAAAATGTCTACATCAACTCACCCAATTTTCTTAGAATCTTGTGTTCTCTCTTTCAATTACTCTGTAGTTTTGTTCCCAAATATAATGAAGGGTGTGAATTTGATGAAAATATTTTGTAGGAAATAATAAATGGACAAACATTTTCATAATTTTGGAGGAAAAAATATAGTTAAAGATCGAGGGATAGGAATATAAGAGAGAGAAGAAATTGTTTGGAGTTGCAAGGAAAGTGAGTGGGCTTGTTTCATAAAAAAATCTCATCTACACTAATCCACATAATTTTTCTTACCTTGTTAACCATTTGTTTCAAAACTCTAACCTTACATTGATATTGCATCAAGAAAGTAAAATTAGATGCAAAGAAGAAACA